AAATTCCAAGTTCAATTTATTTGAGATTCAATTTATTTTCGAAAATTCAATTTATTCTTTTATGGATTAACATAATTTTGAAATAAGTTAAAGATTTCTGAATATCACTTTATGTTAATACTTTTAAAGGCATGGATTATAAAGTGAGCAAATTATCACCATCATAAAGTCATGAACAAGTCATTATCTGCACTCTAGTTATATAGGGTAACATTGGTTACAGTATTCCAAAAGTTGAAGATGACAAGTTTTACTGTTAACTAAACCGTTCCATGATTCGAAAAGAGTGGGATATATTGGAGCAGCAGAAGAGACAGTTTGTTGTAGCAATCATTGCAAGTAAATGCACCAACAAAAATCTTCAAGCCCATGAATGATGTTTATTTCTTCCAGTAAGGTTGTTACGCTGGATGCCACCGACAACTAGGTCAAGTCCGTTAAAACTACTCATCAATTGCTCCAACCGATCATCATTCAGTTCTTGCACATCTGTTTTCAAAAGTATGCCAAGACAGTACAAGGCAACCTCTACATCATTGATCCCAGAGAAAAGAGACAGGACATTGATACCACCATGGAACATGTCTCTATACAGATCCTTGTGTATGGTTTTTAGGGAAACCTAGAAGCATTTCCACCTCATCAGATTCAAGTGGAACAATTTTATTTTTTTTTCAACCCATACCAGATTCCATTTTCAACACTCATCAAGAACATACTTTTGGACACTCGAAGGAAGGCCATCATTTCTTTGTCAATGGAAAAACATCAGCACATGGAGGAAGCAGAATAAAAGAAAATATGTTCTCAATTGGCAGAATTATGAATATAGCTCTTTTCAGTGTAGTAGCATGAAAATGTTTCGAATCTACAAATTCTGGCTCTACATTGAATAAAGTACTATGATATTCCAGTCCAAACATTAATGGGAGCAAGTGCCATGTGCTCATAGTAGAAATAAGAAGACCCAATAGCATCTTCTGGAAGTGTTCTTTGAGTTATCTGATATGGTTTGGTATGAACCCCAAAAACCAATCATTGGATTTGAAAGATAAATGTGCTCATAGTAGAAATAAGAAGACCCAATAGCATCTTCTGGAAGTGTTCTTTGAGTTATCTGATCTAGTTTGGTATGAACCCCAAAAACCAATCATTGGATTTGAAAGATAAATGTGCTCATAGTACAAATAAGAATACCCAATAGCATCTTCTGGAAGTGTTCTTTGAGTTATCTGATCTGGTTTGGTAGGAACCACAGAACCAATCATTGGATTTGAAAGATAAATGTGCTCATAGTATAAATAAGAAGACCCAATAGCATCTTCTGGAAGTGTTCTTTGAGTTATCTGATCTGGTTTGGTAGGAACCACAGAACCAATCATTGGAATTAAAAGATGAACTGCATGATCATCTTCATTAAGAAGCTTCTTTTCAAGCTTCTTCTGCTTATTCCTTTCCCAAAAATCATAGCCCAAGTTTCGCCTTTTCTTGTAATTGGGATCATTGCATAATGGCTTCCTATCTTTTACCGGAAGAAGTGCGTCAGCAGCCTTAGCCATTTGAGCAGCACATATAAAATCTGTCAATTTTGCAATTGGTGAATCTGAACCACATCTCTTCATGGCTATTGAAGTCTCAGCCTCTGAGAATCCCATTTATTCTCAAGTATAACAGTTTACTCTCCTCATCAGAATCAGAATTCAAGATTTTCTCGGTATTAAAAGAACTATCGATATCTGCGAAATCATCTTGAAAGATCACTTCATAATCAGATGAGTTGTTATCAGAATCAACATGTTGCATGAATGCAAGCTTTTCAAGAGCATATACTATTGAGTTTTATTCTCAAGAGATTTTGTGACATTATATCTACATCTACATTTGTCAAAGATGATAGATTCTCTTATTTGAAGAAGAAAGATTTATTGGGTTTCTATACAACTGAAGAAATACTCAGTTCACCAATCTGAAATCAAATAACTTAACATTCATGCATCATATTTAGGCATTTGCAAAAATAGGTGCATTTTCATTCATTTTCATCCATGTTGAATTTTAACAGGAATTTCAAAGATTTTAGCAAAGATTAAAATCCATCATTCAATGGATCAACATTTCCAGTTCGAGTTCATAATGAGAAGAACTCATCTAAAGAAGGAAGGGAAAGTTCATAATGAGAAGAACTTGTTCAACTTTTTGTTTGAATTCATCATTTGATGGATCAACATTGCCAGGTAGAGTTCATAATGAGAAGAACTCATCTGAAGAAGGAAGAAGAAGTTTATAATGAGAAGAACTTGTTCAACTTTTTGTTCAAAACCATCACTTGATGGATCAGCTTTTCCAGAGAAAGTTCATAATGAGAAGAACTCATCTGAATAAGAAGAAGTTCATAATGAGAAGAACTCATCTGAAAGAAGAAATTCATAATGAGAAGAATTTGTTCAACCTTTTGTTCAAATCCATCACTTGATAGATCAGCTTTTCCAGAGAAAGTTCATAATGAGAAGAACTCATCTGAAGAAGAAGAAGTTCATAATGAGAAGAACTCATCTGAAGAAGAAGAAGTTCACAATGAGAAGAGCTTGTTCAATCTTTTGCATAATTCTATCACAGAAGCAGATAGATTAGCATCAACCTTTCTAGAGAAAGTTCATAATGAGAAGAACTCATCTGAAAAAGAAAGAAGAAGTTCATAATGAGAAGAGCTTATTCTGAAGAACTCATCTGAAGAAAGAGAAGAATTTATTCAACATTTCCATATTAATCAAGTGAAGTCAAATGAAAAACTTATTATCTTTTCGTCTTTGCTCTATTCTTATTAACACAAGAAGAAGCAAAGAGGGGCAGCTGAAGATACTCATTTTTTCATTTAAATATTATTTATATTATTATTATTATTATTATTATTATTATTTTATTATTAATAAATATTATTACATGCCCAAACTACAAACCAGACTGGAGGCCCAATTACAACCCATACTGGCCCAGACCCAACTTGGTCCAGGCCCAGTTATAAACTAAAACCCTAAACTAATTAGGGTTTCATCATTTTCAGCCACCATCATCAATTTCAGCCGTTGGATCTGGTTTGATCCAACGGTCCACAGTTTGCCAGAGGAAACCCTAGGGTATCATCACCCTAGGGACACGTCGTTGCTTCCCTTACTGTTGCCATCTCGCCGCCTCAGGAAGCTGCTGCCACCGCTTCAACAGAACGCTCCAGAAGATCCAGCTGCCCCCCACACGTTGCGGCTATGGGGTGAGTCACCACATAGCTCGGTGACTCACCGAACTCCACCCTTAGGACCGGTCCGAGACAAGCGCCGGTGATGGCTATAAAGCCATCACCCAACCTGCAAAGAAAAGACAACAACAACCAGCAAGAACGGAGAACAAAAAAAACCCACAACACAGCAACCAAAAAACAAAACAAAAGAAGGGAGAGAAGCTTACCGAGGAAGCCACGACCGCCGGACCTCTTCAAACGTCCCCAAAAACCTTCGAAAATCTAAGGTACTTTCTTAGATTTGCTCCGATCGGGAGTTATTTAAAAGAAAAGAACACCGGAACTGTCATTAGGACGGTCCGATCTACTTTTTAGTGTAAAATTTTTTTTTCCAGCCATCGAAGGCGGTGGCCGGCGACGGGGTCAACACCGGCGAACGGCTGCCGGCCGGTGTGCTTCTCTCTGTTTTAGAGAGAAGCGAGAGAATTTTGAATTCTCTCAGAGAAGAGAGAGAGAGGAAAGAAAGGAAATGAGAGCTGGCCCTTCGGGCCAGCCGGTTTCGGGCTTTAAATAGCCCTTCCCGAACGACGTCGTTTCGGGGAGGGCTATTTGTGTAATTAACTAAGGGTTAAATCCCGTCCGCAGTCCCTTAACTTGTAATTCTTACATTTTAGTCACTAAATCAAATTTATAATTCTTTTAATTTGGTCTCTAAATTTTATTTATTTATATTTTAGCCCTTAACCGTAATTATAAATATTTTAGATAAAATATGTATTTAGTCCTTTAGTTTTAATAAATAATATTTTAATCCTGAGTATTTATTTTAATCTGATATTCGAATTTTATATAATTTTATTTTAGTCACCAAATTAATAAATAAGGAAAATAGCATGTTTAATCCCTATAATTTTAAATAATTAATTATGAATTAGGTATTTAATTTTAATTTTATTATAATTTAGTCACTAATTTTAAATATTTTCATTTATTTTACTGCTTTTAAATATATAGTTCTAATTGTATTTTTATTTTAATTTTACTTGTTTATATATTTAAATATTATTTTTATTATTGTTATATAGTCATATAAATATATATATAATAAATAATAATTTATATTTTTTTTACATAAATTATTTTTATCATATTTATTTATTTATTTTTCAATATCGAAGAAAATGGCAGTCTTAATACAACTGGATGTCATATTCTGGTATTTCAAAATTAAATATTATAAAAAATTATAATTTAATTTAAATTATTATATTAATATTTATTAATATCGAAGAAAAGATTTGTCTTAAGGCACCTAGAAGTCCTTTTCTGATATTTCTAAATAAATAAATATTTTATTTATAAATATATATAAATTATTTTTTTCTAATAATTATAATTTTGAAATAATAGGATTATAAATTAAATATATTTTGAATTTTTGAATTTCTAATAATAGAGACAATTTATAATTAAAAAGTACCAATTTTGGGCGTTGTAGGGGTGTTAAACCTTCCCTAAACGTAACCGACCACGAATTCCTTTTTATTATTAAAAAGAACGAATTTTTGGTTAAAACGCATATCAGTTTATCTTTTAATTGATGATTTCTTAAAAACTCTTTTAAAATATATTTTTTTTAGGTATTCGACCTACCTGACCCAAAAGGTCGATGACGACTCCCAAATTATTTTAAAAACCATTTATTCACATCACTTTTCCCGCCAAGTAAAAAATTCGTGCCCGGACGAAAATCGGTTACGACACGGTTCCTCTCAAATCCTTAGCCATGGATCTGGGTCTCATCACTTTGGCAATCTCGATCACATCATCAAGGCTAATGTTCTCATTATGCTTTATGTTCTTCGACTTCTTACGGTCCCTTTCAGGCTCTTTCAATGCCTTGATCACCAAGGCGGCGGCGGAGGGAACCACCGTCACTTTCGCTAGACGGTTCTGGACGGTCAGTTTGACGGTAACACGTAAACCCTTCCAGTCCTTGACGGTAACACGTAAACCCTTCCCCAAAGGACCGATTTTGTGTGCCAGGGAACTAGCAGCTCCGACTTCACCGCCGGTGACCCGAACGAAGAAGTCGACAACTTGGGTCATATCGAACTTTGGCGGCATGGCTGGCGGCGGTGATTTAGTTTTTTCAAATTTTAGAACTGGATGATCGGCGGAGCAGAAGCGGAAATTATGAGATTAAAGGGTTGAGAAATTAGGGTTTGGGGGATTTAGGCTTTGGAAATGACAATTCGAACGACCCAACATTTGGATAAAGGAAGAAAATAATGGATTATGGGGCTTATTATGAATCTACTTTTAACCTAATGAAATCTAGATGTTTATTTCATGCCATGCCTGCTCAAAGCTATTTTAGTTTATTAACATCACACGCATACTTTAAATACGTAATTATTTAAACTTAAAATTTTTTAAATACATAATTATTTGAACTTAAATTTTTAAAAATAATAATATTTTCATTTGTCCATGTTAAAAGAAAAAAAAATCAAAGCAGGCCTTATTTTTTTATAATTGTCTACCATTTGACCCATATATGTAACCAATAGTTTATATTACCAACAAATCAAATGATAATAGACATCATACGTTTCGTTAATCATGTATAAACTACATCAAAAATAAATTCTAAATTAATATATTAGGACAAGTCTGTCACGTTCGACGAGTACTATTAATGATGAATACAATTAATTGAATTTATAAAATTTTAAAATTTAAAGGACTTAACATATAATTATAAATTAACTAAAAATTTAAAGATAAATTATTTAAAATAAAGAGTAAACTATACCAGTGACACCTATGTTCTTTTTCATTTTGACCACCTTTTTTGAAATTTTCTCAATCAAGTCACTCAATTATTTAAATGCATTCAATTAAGCCACTTGACGTTAATATTTAAAGGAGAAACTGATGTGACAGTTAAAATATTTGGTATAATTACATATTTGGTCATTGTTACTTATATATTCTATCAATTTAGTCCTAATTTTAATAAATTAAAATAAACTTAACCCTCAAATCAAATGGTGTCATGTGTCACTGGTGTCAAGTGTAATAACATGTGTCATCGGTGTCAAGTGTAATAACATGTGTCACCATCCGATTAGATGATTAAATTTATTTTAATTTATTTTTAATTTAACATATTTTTCTCACTAATCAGAGTGTGACACATGTCATAGCTAAGCAAGCTACATCTTAGGAAGCACACATTTCCCTTTCGGCTCGCTCCCTGGACCAGCTAGAAAAGGCCAATCAATCTATCCATCAAGCTTACAATCTTTTCTGCCGATGTTCTAGTAGTTAACCATGGGGTGTATTATTTGGAGGAGCTTGACAAACAAGGCATAGATGTGGTGAAGATGATGATAGATGTGAACTTGATGGGAAGTTTCAAAGTCATCAAATCTGCTTTGTCGTTGATGAAAGATAGGAAAGCCAAGGGGCCTGCCTCAATTGCTCTTATGTCTTCAATGGCCGGTCAGCTTTTAATTTTTTAGCTTAATTGTTGTCTTTCAGCTTCTAATAATAATCTTCTCAATTAATATATATGTATCTATTTTGACATATATATTAATGAATAAAGGTGGGTACATATGGTTTTGCGGCTTATTCAGGCACCAAATTTGGGCTTCGAAGATTAGCAGAAGCATTACAACAACATTCATCTCTCTATATTGTTTCCTCCCTTGTTGAAACTTAGGGTTTCGAACAAGGTTTAAATTTTAATTATTGATTAATTTTGAATTTTCTTAACATTTAATCATCCATATTTGTGTTCCTCGACAAGTATTCATTAATTTCTATTCAACATTTGAAGCAAGGAATAAGATGTCGGACATCACCAAGACCATGTTGGGCTCAACTACCGAAATGAAAGTAGAAGAAGTTGCAAAGGTAATAATGCAAGGCATTAAACGTGGAAGTTTTGGTATCCACTGCAAACTTGATGGGCTAGCATTGACCATAGCTTGTTTAGTTATGTCCCGTGTCACCCTCAAATAAAATGGTGTCATGTGTCACTGGTATCAAGTGTAATGACACGTGTCACCCTCTGATTGATGAGAAAAATATATTAAATTAAAATAAATCAAAATAAATTCAATTGTCCAATCAGATGGTGACACATGTCATTACACTTGGCATCAATAACACATGGCACAATTTGATTTGAGGGTTAAGTTTATTTTAATTTATTAAAATTAGGATCAAATTGATAAAATCAATTTATAAAATTAGGACCAAATTGATAGAATATATAAGTAACATTAACCAAATGTGTAATTATACCAAATATTTTAACTACCAATCAACTTCTCCGTTAAATATTAATGACAAATGGCTTAATTGAATGCATTTAAATAGTTGAGTGACTTGATTGATAAAATTTCAAAAATGATGGTCAAAATTAAAAGGGAAAATAATTAGGTGGTCACTGATTAGTTTACCCTTTATTTTAAATAATTTACCTTTTAATTTTTAATTAATTTATACTTATATGTTGAGCCCTTTAGAGTTTTTATTTTTTTTATAAATTAAATTAATGGTATTCTTCGTTAGTGATTCATAGAATTTTCTATATCAAAATATTACATCATATAATTCATAATACTTACCTTTGGGAAAATAATTTTTATATATCTCACAATTATAACTTTAGATAATTCACGAATTTGTATCATAAATGATAAAGAAAAAATTACATTTGATTTATATAAACTTCAAAAAGGATAAAGGAATAAAAAAAATCTTTCTCCTTTTGGCTTGTGTGTAAAATTGCCATATATTGTGAATCCCTACTAATCTGAAAAGGAATCTCAGACATACCACACGATTCCATTAAGTCCTCCAAGGATTTCCATTATGAGACAAAGGACACTTAACTACACTATAAAGAAAAACAAATGGGGTCATTTCTTTTAAAGGGGTTTTTGATAAGATAAAAGATATATTCTACTAATATTCAAAGGGAAGAAGACAAAATAATAATATTTATATATAATCCTATAATTTAAAAGAAAAATATCAATAGAATTCATTGAGTGATCTTAGTGATTAAAGTGGGTATTATTTTTCCTTGAGATCCTATGTTCTTGCAGTTGAGTCTATAAGATGTGTGTTATCAATGTTTAACAAAAAAAAAATCTTGAACGCATATTATCTTATAATCACTCCAGACTATTAAAAAAAAATAATCATTATATTTTAGTTCAGTATGGAGCATGCATGCATATATGCATGCCTAGGTTTCTTTTATTTTTCCCTCGACTTTTATGCATTGGGATTCCTTTGGTTTAATTTATATCCAGGAGCATTGCTTTCCATTGTTTAAGGTCCGATTCATTGCAACCTTTAGGTGTACCAACTAAGAATGAATTATATATACATTTTGCTTATAATATTTGTTTATTTTCCAGAAAACGACAAGCTAATTATAAACTTCAAGAAAGTTTAAGCTTTACTGGTCTATTATATGTAAAATCTTCCATATGAATATGATTATGCATATTTATCAAGAGTTTAGGTCTTGGTTTGACAGATTTAATCTATAAATTCATAGCACGTTTGAATTTAATCGCATAGTGTGTACTGTGAGTTGAAAGAATAACCAAAGTTACAAAGTTTCATTTTTATTTGCTATAACTTTTAAAAGGTTTATTACATTTTGAAGGAGAGGATTGTGTTTAATCACAAAGATTACAAACATGTAATGACGGACCCAAAATGTATATGATTTACATGAAAGATGTTATAAAAAATATTATCAAAATTAAATTTCACAAAAAATATTTTAAAAAAGTAAAATAGTTCGAATCAAGTCAATTTTTGAAGATTATTTTTAAGTAAAACTTGACATGTAGTGTGAGTATATTATTTTAAAGGTGAGTACTTGATGCATAATTTTATGTACTACTAATAAATTTTATTATTACATATAAAAAATAAATTTTAAATAAATATAATTTTATATTTATATATCATCATCTTACTCGTTAATAACACAAAATTATACACCATCAATTAATCAAATATTAATTTTTTAAAAAGTATGAACCTTCATTTTATATATTGTTGGACTTCGAGAAAAACAATGTAACACCATTTAATATTTTATGTTTCGTTGGTTTTGCATTCATTAAAAAAAATGTTTAACAAATAAATGTATAACCGAAATGTTGGATGGGATCAAGAAAATTTCAATAATATATGATGTTGACAACATATTTATAACTAAAATAATCAATCATTTAAGCAGAGATTAGCTGGCTGGAAGGGGAAAGCTTTATAGATGGCGAGGCAAAAAATTCTAATTCAATCGGTTACAGCTGCTATCTCGACTCACACAATGCAAACAACCTTACTTCCTACAAACACTTGAAAGCAACTTGACAAGATTAACAGAAACTTTCTCTGGGTAGGAAATATTGAAGAAAACAACAATCATCTTGTAAAATGGGATTAATCTACAATCTGCTGAATAATTCTGGAAGTAATGCGAATACGGAGGACGAAGTTAAATGGGGATACGAAAAGGATGGCAACTACTTGGTTAGTTCAGCATTCAAAGAGGTAAACAGAAACATAAACGATCAGGACTGGAGAAATTACAACTGAATCTGGAAGGTGGATACCACAGAACGTATTAGGGTTTTCATTTGGCTATGCTGTTTCAACAGGCTGAATACCAACGAAATGCGTGCAAGAAAGCGCATGACCATCGATTCCGAATGTAAAGAATGTCAGGGCCAAGTGGAATCGATCCAACATACATTGAAAGATTGCAAAACTGCGAAAGAGGTTTGGGATACCATAAACCGCATCTTCTCTACTAAACCGATTTCATCAACTGATTTTGAAAGTGGTTAAAGAAGAACAACTCTTCAAAAAAGAATCTGAATGGCGGTAATTCTGTTCTCAAGTCTGATTTGGGGACTATGGAAAGAACAAAATGAAAATATCTTCAGAGGAATTAGCAGGAACCCAAACCATATTGTGGAATATAGCCGCAGACTTACACAAGATCTAGCAAATGCAAAAAGCTTAAACAACGCGAACATTACCAGGGAGCCGAGATGGATAAGTTGGAGAACACCCCCGACCGACCAATTTACTCTTAACGCTAACGGAGCTTGGAACCGATCTTCAAAAATCGTCGGAGCAGGAGGTCTAATAAGAAATTGCAAAGGCAAATGGGTCATGGGTTTTATTATTAACATCGGAAAAGCAAATCATGTCCTAGCTGAACTATGGGGATTGAGGAAAGGACTTAACTTCGCAAAAACCCTAGGTCTGAAACAGTTGATTGTGGAGATAGATTCCCAAGAGGCGATCGAGTTCCTACAGACAGACGAATCAGAGGATGTTAACCTCAAATCGGTAATCGAAGGTTGTAAAAAGCTATTAAAAGATCTAGAAGTGAAGAACATTAGACATATCCTAAGGGAAGCCAACAGGTGCGCCGATTCTCTCGCAAAGCTTGGTCTCAACGAAGAAGAAGAGGAAAAGATCCTAAACGAGCCGCCTGAAATCTTATCACGGCTATTGGATTTTGACAGGAAGGGTAAAGAAACCCTAAGAATGTAGAGGAAACGTTGTCGTTTGCCTCACCTCTTTTGTACCAAAAAAAAAAAAATCAATCATTCAAACAAATTCTATAAAAAAAAATATATAGAATACGCATGAATTTATAATTAACACCTATTCACAAACATATAAAAGGGTAAGGGTTAATTTGCAAAATATATAAATTAAACATAATTTTTGACGCCCTGGCGCAAGATGCCCAAAGTAAGTTTGTACGAAACAAAAGGTCATTTTGGTGCGGGGAAAATATTTTACGGAAAATGAATTATATTTTTTGAAAATATTTTTTAGTGTTTAGATGGTACATTGTAAAATGTTTTACAATGTTTGGTTAATTTTTCTGAAAACAGTTTTCATAATCTGTTTTTAATAAAGAAGCATACATATTCGATATGTTTTTATTCTTTATTATTTTTAAAGGTTCATTTTTATATATAATTATATTTTATAAAAATATGTATTTTTATAAGTACGAAAAACTAAATTTTTAGATAATATTAATATTTTATGTTGATTGTGTTATAAATACACTATTTTAGGTTTAAAATCTTCATGATGCTTATTCATTCGTATTTTTAGAAATGAATTTCAACGTATAATTAATATTATGTAGGTTTATTTGATATAATATTAATAATTGATTAAAAATATATTATAAAAGTTTATAAATATTATGTAGGTTTAATTAATAGTACACCACATTAAAACAACAATGGTACATAACTTCTCAAAAATATTATAAGAATTATTTCATAATATAACAAAATTTCTCAAAAACAACAAATAAATGTCTTAAAAGAACAAAAAAATGTACTGAACATTTCATTAACCAAATCATCACAACACAGGATCTATATTTTGCAAGAGTATCCAAAATTACAACTCTCCTTCCAAATGATGGACTACTAGTATCGCTCAATCCATTGAAAGTTCCAACAATCAAGCTAAAAATATCCTGAAAGCATGCCACAAATCAATCACCAGAAGTTGAGTTGAAAATTTATTACTTTCTAAGAAAATTAAGACCAAAAACAATAAACCTTAATGAAAGAAAAAGTACCTTTAGAATATCATCACTATAAGGCGCTTCAGGCGCAATTATCCGAGTTATCTCACAAATACTGGTTGCAACTCGAAGTTTGGCTCCCCGATCTTGATGATTCAGCAGTTCTGGCTTGAATATTGCATTAAGAAGAGGCTGCATTGATTCCACTATTGATGATGGTGGAGACTGGTCAATCTTAGAGAGACATGTAGCAGCTTGCTGCGGATTAGACGGAAAACATTCATGATATATGGCAAATAACCAAATTAAAAGACTGTAGCTGATTTTGATACACAATATATATATGAATTCACAAGTTCAATCATCCAATAAGATGTACAAGATTCATGAAGTAATACATATTACCACAAACCCGACTGTCCAAGCACATAGGTCTGATGCTAGATGTGTGTAAGTAAAATGATAAAGAACATGTGAAATAGACAAGAATAAAAGAAAATATAGGAAAACATCTTTACTACCATTAAGAATTATCAACCAATGCATGGGTCGTATCATGACTTTAAAATAGTTTGGAAAAATAAAATGCACAATCAGTGATTCAAAAAAACTTAAAAGATAAAAATATCTAAGCTTTTCACTAAACCACCAATAAATTTGAGTCCATAAAATAAAAGAACTACCATCTTTCATGAATAACAAGATATCTCTTCATGTCATTACAAGTTCACCATTAGAGATTCCAAGCACCATGTGAGACCAAAATAAAACCAATCCATATTCGAAAAAATCTCTTTGGTCTATGTTTGGATAAGACAATAATTCTTTAAATAGCTAGTTGCTATTGATTGAGTAAATTTCAGTTTTACAAAATCCAACATAAATTGATTGAGTAAATTTTATGTTGGAAACATAAAATTCAAAATTCAGATTTCAAAACAGAACATGCATACATTATGTGTAAATTGCAGAGATCCAACATGATTGCCATAAATTTCAGTTTTACAAATATCAATCCTATTTCTGAAATCCAAATCCACTGTTTGAAATTCAAGCTCCCAAAACCTAAAGAAATCAGGAAATTCTTACATCGTTTAAGAGTAACCCAAACAAAGCCGGTCTTAGTGCTTCGCTCAAACATGCTCGTAAGTTCATTAAGAAAGGGTCTGGCTGTAGAAGAACCTTAACGAAAAACAAAAAAAATCAGCATAAATCATATCAATAAGATCAAATGCCCAAGAAATAAAAACGAACATAAATTCTTTAATTTGTTGAATTCAGAGAGAGAGACGAAAGCCCATATAAATAAACGAAAAAGGATTAGAAGGGATGTTGAATTACCATGATTAGGAGAAACTTTGTGAATTATGGGAACAACCCTAATTCAACCAATTAGGAACGAACTTTAGCTAAGCAATCTAAAGTTCAGTGGAGAAGTAATAAAGTTGAAGAATGATTGCCTTTAACAGCTTGAGAATGGCGTCCTTCGCGGATGGAGGAGATTTCAACTTGGATCCCAGCTCCTTGAGCTGCTCTTTCAGCTTCTCCGCCAATGAGTCGGGGACTCGATAAGATGAGAGATAGAAAACAAAGAGGGAAAAAGGGGAAGAAGGCCACTGGATCGATCTAAATTCGGTGTGGAGCGAGGGAAATAAAAGGAAGGAAAATGACTTACCCTTTTCCAGACGGTAAGTCATTTTACGGGAGAAAGGAAGGAGTTTTACGTTGACCGTAAAACTAAATCCATTGACTTTCTTATTTTACGGGAACCAAACACATAAAAACGGAACCAAACACACCCAAAGCTTTAACCGTCCTTACACCCAAATATTCAATGAACTTTGGCCACATGTCCCCTTCTAATGATTTCAACGTTTTAACTTTTAATTCAGTATTTCTATCCTCATAATTAAACCATGATGCTTACCCTCGATAATTTTGTTGAAAGACTTTAGGTTGCAGGAAAATAACTCGAGAGATTATTAGACCCAACAACCCAAAAAAAATAATCTAATAGCATTTTTACCTTATAATTTTAAAAATTTTGAATAACTAAAATTTTATTTTGTGAAATTGAGGATCAAATTGTATTTTCCTAAAATTTCTGAATGCCCTTTTCATCTCTCAAATAATTTTGATCGTTGTTACTTCATGGTGTGTAACATTGTTGATATTACCGTGCTTAGTGACGAAATTTAAGTGAGGCAACTGAGGACATCACCCTCTTAAAATTTAAACTATATAATTTAGATTCTTAAAATTTTAAAAATATTTAACTTTACTCCCTAATATTTGTAGAAATCTATATTAGACTTTAAAAATTTTGTATGTTCTTAATTAAACCCTCTTCCATAATTTTTAAAAATTCTCATTAAACTTATCAAAATTTCAAAAAAAATATGTACATATAACTATACCTTAATTTTTTTTTTAAAAATATATATATAAACTAAACCCTTCAAAAAAAATTAAAAATTTCAATTTTAAACTTCTTAATTTTTTAATGTTTAAATTAACCCCAATCCCTATCACTAAATTCCACCATTGATCTTATTCCTCATCTTGTTTCAAAATTATATATCCTCGTTTTCTTTATCGCTGTTATCATTACGGAGCTTGATAAGATGAAGGAATCATCACATCTTACGAGCGTTCAAGAGGGCTCGAAGTTTTTACAAAGGTATCTACACATTTTGATATCATGGTACCTAAATATGTTCACATACTTGTTCTATTGATACTTTTGTATTTTTTATATTTTCATATTTAACTTTTTAAACATTTTTATATTTTAAATTAAAATATTCTTTTTAAATAAATCAAATAAGCCCTTAGACTTAAAAAACAGATTTGACCATTAAATTCGACCAAAAAAATCAATTTAATATATATGTTGCATCATCATCAACATTAGCATTCATTATAGACTTTCATGTCAATATTATGAAGTATCATGTCAGGCGTCGCAAACGGTTAATTACAGAAACTGTTGTTAAGGGCTACATTAGATTTTAACACATTTAAGCCATCACAAAATAACTTTAACAAATAGATTCACTCTTTTCTTCAATTATCGAGGATGGTTTTATATGAGTAAACTTTATTTATAAAAAGACAACAGAAAATTCTGGTAAATGTAATATGTGAAGATAACTATTGAAAATCTTATATTATTATTGTCATATCTTAAGTCAAATAATCTTATTTTAAAATTTAAACCACTCGAATCTAGGGGTGTTCATTTTTCGGTTTTAACCGAATTAATCGATCGAACCAAATTAATTCGGTTAATTCGGTCGGCCACCGAATTAGTTCAGTCGGGAAACGGTTAATAATTTTTTTAGAATCTGGTTAACGGTTAATTCGGTTCGAAATCAGTTAATTAACCGAAATTAAATTTTAAATATTAAATATATTATATATAACATATGGGCTCGGCTCAAACCATTTAAAACTCAATTAATAATTTAAAATCCAATAACTTTTAAATCTAAATCAATTAAAAAAATCCATATAAAATTTTTATTTTATAATTATATATTGTTTAAATAAATTGTAAACTATTTTTTTAATTAAAAAAATATTCAATTTTTATATAAATTAAAAAATTTTAAAAAATTTCGATTAATTCAAAAATTAACCTAAATTTATTTGATTCGATTAATATTTTCAAAAAAAAATTAATTCAGTTAATAGTTAAAGAAAAAAATTCATTTAATTCGATTAATAATAATTCAATTCGATCATCCATCGTTTCCCTACTCGAATTAAACAATTTTTTCACTCTTTACTTGAACACATATTATACAGCCTCAATCATTTGTTCTTCGGTTCTCCATGCAGTGCCACGTGTTTGGTGTAAAATCCCATTTGTACTGTCATGCCACGTGCTTGATCCCTTCTTTTTGTCATGACTTGCCACGCCATATACGCATCACGACAAAACAGTCGAAAGAAATGCTGCTGCACATGACGTGTCAGGATATGGACGCTCAAATCCTTTCTCTTTTGATAATAAAAACGTAGGATGGGTGAAATGGGGCCCACACTTTTCCGTGCCGGTTCAGCCTGTGTAATAAATAGGAACCAGTGAATGATTAATGGAGCTCTCCCATTGGCCCACGCCTTTTCGTGCGGTTGGTCCCTTCCAATTGGACAAGTTTCTTCACCACCCCTTCGGGACCTACCCAAAACCATTTTATTTATTACGTGTCATTTGCGGGATTTTAAAAAATATTTTATTATTAATCTGAATAAAAAACTTACAAATTTAAATTACTTACGAAAGAACATTGGATTCATTTTTAAACATAAAAACATTAAATATTCATTTTATTTCGTAAGTCTGTTGGTGCATGGTTTTGTGTGATTGAAATAAATATTTTTAATGTTGGAAATTGTTAGTTGAATTAAATTTTATTGGATAAAGTAGGTAACCCAATCATAATGGCTTGAGTGAAAAAATGATATACTTACCATTAAATTAAATATTCAAATGTGGTTTGTTCAAAAAGTATATATTCAAATGTGATAAAATCATGTTAAAAAATACCATTTCAATAATAATGTAGTAACATCAGTATCGTTTCACCTCTAATTACATAACTAAATTTAGTATAGATTTATATTTAGTGTAGGTGTGACAATGTATTCGATATTCATTGTCAATAAATCATAAAATATCATTTATCACAAAATTTAATAATTATATTTATTTTATAGCATTAAATGCGAATCCATTTACTGTGTAAGATTATAAAATTATTAGGTGAAACGCATACTTTTGAAATCAAATGAATAGTAAAAAAATCAAGGGTAAATTGTATGTTTAGTACCTCAATTATCATTATTGTTCCCTTTTGGTCACTAAATTACTTTTTGTTTCAAAATTATATCTAACGTTTACTTTTCGTTTTATTTGGTCACCCGCGTTAAAAAATTAATAAAATGGTTAAGATGAAACTTTTTTATTTTTTTCAATAATCACATGACATTATCTTATGGTATCATGTCAGCATCACCATTAATTTTTTTTTAAAATGTGATTGACCAAAATGAAACTAAAACTAAATGTAGGTATGCTTTTGAAACAAAAATTAGTTGGGAGACTAAAACGTAACAAAAGTAATAGTTGGGTGCTAAACGTGTAGTTTATCCAAAAATCAAATGGGGAAGTCCATGGGGGGTTTTGAGGAAGCAGACATTGGAAAATTTGCACTATATTTTATTAATTTATGTGTTTGCCCACGAAAAAGAGAGAACTTATCCACTTCAAGTATAAAAATGGAAGATGATCAACAAACAAAAGCCCTCCCAAAAACAGATCAAAGCAAGGCAAGATAATATATTTTTTATTTTTTTCTTCTTCTTCTTCTTCCGAATTCCTCAACTGTTGTTGTTTGTTAATTGGTTTTGGGGTTTCAAAAATGGCAGCAAGGAAGATGTTTTTTGGTTCAAAGCCAAGATACATCTACCCAACCTTGGAATTTGATGATGGGAATCTCATCAACAACAGCCCGATTCATAATAATCTCTTCGAGTTCGATGAGGATGATGTATGGAACAATTCAAATGATCCAGCGATGGCCAGCATGGAGCCCAAGAAGCCATTGCCCAGTTCAAGAGCTTCGTCTAAGAAGGTTTTGAAAAAGATTGAGATTAGTGATAAGAATAAACATAGGAGTGCCCAAATGGCAGCTGCTTCAGCTTCATTGCCGGTCAACATCCCGGACTGGTCCAAGATTCTCCAAGCGGAATACGTAGAACACGGCAAGACCGATGAAGATGTTGTCGGAGAGGACGACGGAGATGGAGACGGAAGGGTTCCGCCGCATGAGTACCTGGCTAGGAGGAGAGGCGCTTCGTTTTCCGTCCATGAAGGAATTGGAAGGACTTTAAAAGGAAGAGATTTGCGTCGTGTTCGAAATGCTGTCTGGAAAAAAACAGGTTTTGAAGATTAACAGTAAAAAATAAAATCCAGATTTAGTTTTAATCTCTTCTACTTATTTGGACCAAGAAATGGCAAATTTTTAATTGCCATATCTATCTATACATGAATTTTCTTCTCTGATTTTCACAATCAGAGGATGTATTTTCTTCTGTTTTGGCATAATGTAACTATTCAGTTATGGATGATAATGATGATGATTTTAACTCATTGAAACCGTGGTAGTTGGCTAGATAGGAACAGCGGACCTTGATTTATTTTCTTGTAAATATTCGTTTTTATGGTTTGATGTCAACGAAGTTTATTTCTTTATCTGACATTAAATTATGCCCCCAAACCTTTCATAAAATATAAATAATGTCACTGTCTTCCTGATGTGTTCAAGTACTGTATATTTTTAATTTCAATTCCAGCGACAATAATATATATTAAAAGATAGTACACAACTTCAGTACAAACAAATTAAACCAGAATTTGATTAAGTAATTCCCCCCCCCCTTCTAAAGCTACAGTTTTAACAATTAATCAAGTGTTTACTTAAGATTGAAGGATGTTAATTGTACAACATTAAAGAAAGAAAAGAGATACCTTATCTATGACTAAATCTTATTTATTATCCTTAAGAAAGATAAATGCACCTAAATTTGTTGGCCACTATTAAATCATCAAACAAGCTGCCGCTGCTTGTTTTCAAACCCCTTGTTTTGTTACCTTTCTTGTTGATGTGATTCGCATAGTATGTACTATCTTCCTTCTATAAGGAATTTTTAACGAGGTATGTAATAATATTTATATGTGTATGTTTTTAGTTATGAATCTATCTTATTTTACTAAAAAATAATATATAAGGAAGTTATTTATAAACCCATCAAACGATTTTAGTAATAGAAAAAAATATTATTCTTTCGAAAGATATCAAGTTTGAGTAATTGCATTTGTAAAGTTATGGGCACGTTATTAATAATTAAGAACAATTTTAAACATATATTATTTTAGTTACAATTATCTTAGATTATTTAGAAGTTCACTTTATAAAGAAACTTTTTACTGATAATATATCGAATAATAACCGATAATGAATTATGCTATGAAAATAGAGAGAAAATGCTCAATCTTGGTGCCCCGATGTAAGTATGTTGAAATTCAAATGGATTGTGTTTCACTTCAAAACTTGTACCTTGTTTCTTTATACTTTTAATCTCCCGAGTTTCAAGCATTGAGGGTGACGTTTGAAGTTTTGTCCAAGTTAAAACGGCAAAAGACAACATCTTCAATAAGGAACATTATCATAAACAATAAGTCGGTGTCTAGACAAGTAGACAACGAAAGCTTTCAATTCATTGATTTAACTTTCTATCTCTTGTTTTGTTCAGCCTTGCAATAAGTAGACAACGAAACTAAACCAATAAAAAAGGGCCCTTGATCTTTAGGGCAATTTCTGATGTGCCATATTAAAATTATTGTAAGTTGGAATATTTATGGATATTTAATATATTTTTTGAGTGTATATATGTATACACACGGTAGATTGTAATGTTTTACAGGCTCAAAATAAAATATAAATATACGCCATCAGGTATTTATTATTAAAATTCACATCAGTTATATGGATGTGGAATGTGGATCCTATTGTTTGAATCTAATTTCAGATTATAAAATAAAAAATAAAAATATATGATTGTTGAGATTTGAATCTTGATCATTATCAGAATTAAACACTCTCGGTAGTAAATGAATTGTTGTTATTTCTTGAGGTCTCGGGTTCAACCACCAGAAATGTCAAGGGTTTGAGCATTCAATGTCAAATAATAGTGACCTCTCTAATATGTCTTTATAAGCTCGCCTAATTTTGTTTTAGGCTCATTTCAAATGTTTAACATATAACTTTAATTTTTTAACATATTTACAGATTTATAATTCAAAATTGCATAAATCTAATTCGCTCTCCTTCCTAATTCCACTACAAGCAACTAACTCTGCTAGAAAACCCTATTTATGTGGAATTATTATTTTTAACGATGCATTCATGAATCGGGATATACAAAACAAGACAAATGATAGTGGCATCGTTAAAAAAACCTCCCTAAACCTAAACCTAAATTGAGGAAAAAGAGTGCAATCAATTAATGTCGGTACAACAAGAAACAAACACGAAATACATCCAAATTGGTAGTTACCACACACAAACACAACAAATAGAAAGGAAAAGTGGCCCAACTTACAACCAAAGTACCCAATCAATTGAATAGAACTAATCCCTTAACATTTAACTCCATAATAGCACTAGAAACTACATCATTAGACATCTAACAGAGGAACCGATTAGGACATACTCGTCTTCTGTCTAAACCACTCAGAAAGACCAAAATTAAAAGCAAACATTTAAGTCCACAATGAGGAACAACGCTCTAGGTAGCAACCAAAAACTAGGAAAACCAAAGTACCAAAGAACAAACATAATTAACAACACTGTCTTCTTCTTCTCCTTAATAATTTTTTCTCTATGTTATTAATCTCTCAATAATGGAATTATTAGCAATTCATAGTTCAACACCGGTGATTCCCTAAGATACAAACCAACCAATCTCAGGCCGCTAGACCCAGGAATTGGTTAGGATGTTGATATGATGACAGTGGAACCAAAAAACAATAATGGGAACCATAACCCTTGTAACACCCTAAATTTCGGGTTAATAGTTTCAGGCTAACCTGAGATTATTTAGTCAAGCCCATTATATCTTTGTGAAACTTTGACCAAGTTAAGGATGAACTTGGGCTTGGGTTAGGCTCAAGTGTTAGAAAAAGGGGGGCATTGTAATAGTTGAGGGTAAGAGGAATATCCAAAAGGGCAATTTTACCCTTTTTTCAAACAAATGTTGAATTGGTTTTAATAAGGGTGATGTAATTTGCTCACACACTTTCCTTTTTCTCTCATTTTTATCTCTCTTTGTCCCTTACCTTTATCTTCTCCATTCTCATAATTCTTCCTCTTCCAAACATAGAGCAAAGGTGGAAACTTATGGACTCCCAATCATATTTCAGATTTTCTAAGGTAAGAAACAAAATCCCAACATCCCAAGCTCTCATCCAAGCCTCTTATTATAAGTTTTAGTCATGGAATGTCTTAGGTGGGGTTTTAAAGTAGGTTTTGGATTTTGGGATTTTGGGTTTGCTTAGTACTCCAAATCTATTTTTAGAGAGTTGAAATCATATTTATAATCGTTTTTAGCCTCTAGGTGAGTTAGTAACTCATTTACTTTTAGTTAGATCAGTGAAAGAGGTGAGAGAAAGCTCCAAGGCTAAACGAAAGGAGAAATTAACCCTTGATTGATTTAAGAACATTTCCAATAACTAGGAAACTAAGGTAACACATTAACAACACTTTCATGCCATTTGTGAGTCACTGGAATGCATCTAGCTAGTGATCATTGAGTTATGAAGCATGAATGAGCATCCATGGTAGATTCAAGCTTTTAGTGTTTTAGGCATGTTTAAAGACATATTATGACACCTTTTTCATACATAAAACTTTAAGAATGTTTGAGAACCTTAATAAGGCTTTTGGGGTGGTTTTGGGAGTCTTTTTTATACCCAAATAGGAAATTTCTGGGTTTGAATGTTGGTAATGGAAGAAAAGTACCAATACTACTAATTAGCTAGTTTAAAAATGAGAGAGTAGAAATGGAACTATTGATACTCATTTAAAGAGTATCGATACTTCTGTTCAAGTTTTGATACTTATATATCGATTCCAAACACACTTAGCAGATTATAGTAGGCCATTTTGGTATTTGTACTCTTGAGAGTATCAATACTGAGGATAGGATATAAATACTCCTAATAGTGGTATCGATACTGACTTATTTTTTGAAACATTGAAGCAAAATTTAGTATCGATACTCCAGATAGTATCGATACCCTAGCTCATGAGTATCACTACTGGTTCAGGAGTATCGATACTACCCTTCTTTCTCAACTTGTAATCACCATGTAAGTATCGATACCCAAGGGCGAGTATAAATACTCACGGGTCAGTATCAATACTAAAAGGGATTAGTATCGGTATCATCGCACTTTTTTGGGCAGGAAACCCTAGGGATTTAGAAATGATATTAAGGGACCCAATGACACTAAAATACCATCAAATAAAACTACAAGTGAAAACTATGCTATTATACAATTACAACTAGAAACAATATAGACTAGGATGTCCTAAAACTAGCCTTGGTTGATGTTTGGGAAACGGTCATGACACCAGAGTTATTTTAGAATATGAAAATAGTTTTGAGGTATAGAGTATCTGTATATCCTTAAAAAAGTGCATGAGGCACTTTGAGACTAACTAGGGCACGAGGTCTAAATACTTGCGAGGGGTGGGTTATTCAGGTGTAGTGGCCTCACCCTAGCTAGGCTAGAGGGATACGTGTCCCAAGATGTGTAACCCTCCAAATGCACTATGATGTCTACCCTATAGTATTGTGCAATATATGAGTATACTCACTTTCTTTATTGCACCTAATAACATGAACATTTAATGAACACTTTTAGTATGGTTTAGTTGTTAGTGTGACATTGGGCTAGTGAGCTTAACGTTTGGATTTTGTTTCCATACGCATGTCCTTAGGAGGATCATTCAAGGAGCTATCGTACAATTGACGTTCTAGGTAGTTCGAGCAGCAACAGAGTGTGTATTGAGTCTTTTGTCTAGAGGGCATGTTTTGTTCATAGTCCTTCATGTATTTGAGTCATAACTCTATTTTGATACTTAATTGTATTTTTTTTTCATCTGTATATTTTGGGAGCTCCCCTTTATAAACTTAAATGATTATGTTAAATTACGTTTTACTTAATGATCTTTAAATGGTGGTTTTACAAAATGATTTTAAATAAAAAATTTAGGGTTAGCCATTACAATGGTTTTGTGTGACATTCTAATAGGTCGACTTTGTATTATATCAGATTAAAGTGTCATATTTAATGATATCAGAGCGAAAAGTTCAGTTATTCCTAGGATCCACGTATTAGAGTCAGTA